CAGGGATCTAACTCACATCTCGTGTCTCCTGCACTGGCGCAAGCGGGTTCTTAGACTTACACTAGATTCCTCAAATAATACCTCTATAATTTCAAACTATTTCTTAAGCAAGTTAAATAGTCTTGGCATAATTCTCTAAAACACATAATTTATGTACTATAGATTCCTCTTCAGGGCAACAAAATTCACATACTATATTGGTATTTATAACTGTGTGTATTTACCAATACCGAACACTTACCACACAGCAATTTCGGACCATGATAAAATACACAGGTTTAATGGAGCACTGAAAACTATGTTTGCAACCAGCTTCCAAACAAACCTCCACAGTCAAAGCCCACTAGTAAACATAAGATTTATGGGGCAGAGATCCTAACTAAAAATGCCAATTCTATCCCTTGGTCACTGCTCCCACACTGCCACCTCCTGTCTTATGACTCTACAAGCCTGAATCAGAACCAACAGCTGATAAAGGAACCTCCACTAAAAATAGTAGACTCTTTCCTCCCAGACCAAACCAACTACCAGCGTTGCTGAATGGATAATTCACACTTTTCAAAATTACTGCTAGAATAGCTGCTGTCTGAATGCTGTTAAAGAATGTTAAAATGGAGCTGCTTCAAAATATATATCGAGGTGGCTCAACAGCTTCACTTTAATATAGAATCCCAGACCTACAACAACACATGAGCTGCGGTGGTGTGACTCACAAAAGCCTTTCCAAGTATGGTGAAGATCGCGTCCCTCGTGCTGACTGCCCCAACGAGGTGCAAAAAAGCAACTAAGCTGCCATACTTCAGAAGAGAAATGCAAGCTCCTTACAGGGGAAAGCCCATCTCTCTGTAACTCCCAAATACACCTTTAAATCTTAGCTGGTAACTCACTTATTTCAAGCAGAACTCACAACTCTGAACAAAGTATGCCCCTTGTTAGTTTATTATAATGGCGTTTGGCATGAACAGAGAATGTAAGTCATCCCACAAATCAAAAGGAAGCCAGAAACAGAAGCCAAGATTCTCAGTTCCCACTGGCTCCAGGCACATGTCATGTTGTCAAAATGTCTTCCTTGTTATCACGGACACACAGAAGCTACTTATCAATATATATACTTTTTAATCTAATAAAGTGAGAAAGAAAAGCAAGAAATCTTGCTTTCTCAAACTGTACTGAGAAAACATGAAATCAAGAAAAATCTCATTGGCTACAACCACTTAAGCAGTCATGCATTACTGCTCTTAAACCCTGCACTGCGAAGATAGCCTTTACCAGCCACGGAAGTTTCCTCAACTTCAGGTCTACGAATGTGTGAGAAATTTCCCTAATTCACAAGATTCACCTGGACCACCACTGATAACCCAGGAGCATCCCTGGTAATACACCTTGGGGAATATCTTGTTAAAATATTTAGCATTAAAAACAGCTTTTGATGTCCTGAGACACCACAGGGTCTTATGCCCTGGCTAACTGGCACAAGACTACACCTGGCACCGTCCTAGTCTATACTTCACTGCTTTCAAATAAAATGCAGCACTAACTTTTACATAGCCATTTAAGGTAAGATATATTTAAAACCCCAGTAACTTTTATACATGCTCTATCCCATTTATATGCTAAACACAAGATTCTAATATGGAAATAAGTTATCCATTTAATTTCCTTTCTTTAAAAAATATTTCAAAGCAAAAAACAAAAGATACTTGAGCTTAGGCACCACCGTTTATCTTAACAGATCCTTCCTGGAAAAATATTAATTATAATATCCCACTAATTTTTTCTTTTATTCAAATATGTTTTTGGCTACATACAAATCTAATTAAGGTTAACATCTAAAGCATGAGGAAGTTTAAGCTAGAAAAAGTTGGAAAATATGCCAACTTTCATAATTTAAAAGTAGTGGAAAACAAACCACCATCCTCTAAGTTCCCCAGTGTCAGCGACTTTCTTGTTCCCTCTCCCATGCCCAACAGCCCACAACGTAACAAAAGGAAATCAGTGCTATTTACCAAAATATACAGGGGCACATACAAGGTCCCACAAGATACCAGTGACTCTTCCAACCCAAAGTCAGCTATGGTCTTCCAAAGCCGCGACAATTTTCACACCCACCTTTTCCTCCAGGGGTAGGGAGGGAAATTTTTTTTTAAAGCTTATACGTCCAGAGTGAAGCCAAGTCTTCATGTGTTGTGTCTTCCAAATTTGGAACAAAAAGTGCAATACTATCACAGATACTCTATGCCATGTTCTCTTCATTCTGAATGCAGAGGATCTCAAACTCTGAAGCACTGCTATAATCTCCCCCAACTGAGGGGTATCTGAATGCAGAAAAGCAACATTCCTTCCACATTCCCTTGAGACAGGAACTAAGCTTGGTCTGAACCAAACTCGGAGATGCCCCTTCCAGCAAGGGTCCGCCCAGCTCTGCTCCCCCAGAATTTTGGCCAGCCTACCACGCGTCACATCACATCACCCATTGGCCTGTTCCCCTGTTTAGCTGCTACAAGTCCATTCATCCATCTCAGAGTGCTGCCAGAAGCATTCTTCAGCCTAGGGCTCCCAACATGCCTTGCACAGCAGGTATAAAGGTCACTGTTGGACATGTGGGTGTGCCTGCCTCAGATGCCCACACGGTGATGGGATGGAATGCAATGACTGCTACGCACAAACAACTCCACCCGGAAGCCCAGCAGGCTCACCAGCAAGGACTGGGCTTCGGCATGCAAGTCACTCTCATCAGTACCACCTGACCATCCTCTAGGTGCTGGGTATGTGGATCACCGAGGTGCCTTCTCTGCTCTCTCCCAAAGCCTATTCAGACAGTGGAACAGTCCAGATAAGGAAAACTGCAACACCGTTTCAAGGGTCAGTTAAATCCAAATTGTAATAGAGGTTCCCAGCAAATCTCCCTGGGCAGAAAAACCAAGCTTCATTATTGGTTTTAACCACTTCAATACAAGCAAAGGGCTTCCTTGATGGCTCTCTTAATAAATCAGTAAAAAAAAAAAAAAAAAATTGTCTCTAATGTACTCACTCCTCTTTACTTTGCTAGTAACACTGTATCATTCAAAATCCTGAGCATTTCAATTACTAATGAAAATCAGCTAGAAAATTTAATCTACCTTGTTCATCAATGGAAGCTTCTCCAGTTTAATACTTCCTGCCACTAGTAACATTTTACTTTCTGTGTTTTCTTCAATAGTTACTTGTTTCTTTATGACAAAGAGGCTGCTCCTAAGTATGTTTTTAGGTTGGGCAAAAACCTTGAAGAAAAAAAGCAGTCTCTTACCAGACCAAGTTTTTAATTCCCTACACATGAGGAACAAACTCACACAAGGTTAGAGAAGGCGAATCAGGAGAGTATATTTGCACTCACAGGCAGGTCAATACATTTAAAGTTTAAATTTAGCAACTCCTGAATGTTAAAATGTCAGTTCTTCAACACAACTATTTGCCTACTTCTTATTCAACATTTGAAGAAAATTAATAAGACACAGCGGCTAAACAAAAACCAATTAGAATTCGCAGAATACGCTTACATTTTTTTTTCCAGTAAGGAAACAATAGACTATCCCTTTAAATTTGTTTTTAAGAAGATACGACTTCTTCCCTAATTTTTCAATTGATATTAAACTGAGATCAATTTAGATAGTTTTCAGTACACATTCTATTGTTTTAGAAGCTTTTAAAATTCCATTCTGCTATATAAAATAATTTGACCACTACCAAAATTCCCAGCTAGAACTATATCACTTCCCAACTATCCTAATGAAAATTAAGTATAGTACATGAAGAGAAACCCATGAGAATCCCACAAGCTCGTGAACAAAAAAACAGTTGGTGGAAATTATTTACCTGGAAGAAAACTCCATCTACAAACAGGCCTAAGAGGACCTATTGGGTAGCCCATTCTCCAAGTCAAGCACCAGGGAAATGCATATCAAACCCTTTCAGCCCTCCAGCATACACACTTGCACCAATACCTAACCAGATGCTGCTCCCCCTCCGGCTGCTCTAGTTTAAATTAACTTCCAGCTTACCGCTGGGCCATGGGTTGGCAGTGGGGGATGGGGGAAGGCAGAAACCCTCACCCCACTGGGCAGAAACCAGCGAGGCACAGGCCAACCCCGGTACCCCCTGGGAGGAAGCAGGGCCTTTCCAGCCGGAGTTAAAGAGCCGGGATCCGGCCTGCTCGGGAGAAAGGAGCCATTTCTCCAAAACAGTCCAGGGATTAAAAGTCTCCGAACACTTTGTAAACTGACACAGTACACGTGCTTTCCAAAAAGTGCAACCCCTCCTTGTTGAGGAAGCAAAAATCTTCAGCCTTATCCATCTCTTGGTGGTTTATCTACAAGCCAAATATTTTTTAAATTTAGGAGCAGGGTGGGGGGAGGCCGGGAGACAAAGGCGGGTTTGCAGAAAACAGTCTTAGTCTGCAGAAACTAAAAAGCGCTTTTGGGCAGGAGAAACCCAGGCGTTCCCTCACGGGGCGCTCCCAGGGTAAAGGCAAATTCCTCTCCCCTCAGGTGCGCGGACGGCCCCCCAGACTCTTGCCCGCCACCGTGGGACAGAAAAGGGAAAGGCACGCCACACCCGCGCGCGGCCGCAGCTGCTTTCACCTCTCCTGTGCTTTCGGGGGGGGGTCACCCCCTGCTTCCCAATTCCCACGGATGCCCAGAAACTGCCCTCGGAGACTCTCGATTTCCTGTTGCACCAACCTGACCTACTCTGCCGAAGAACATTTAACCGAAAGAGCTTCCTTAAGCGACTTTATATACCAGTATAAAAAGCCGGTGGCAGGGGCCACAGACGAGCTATCTATTCCTACAGACCAGTGTGCGCACACACACACACACACACCTGCCAGAAACATAAATGGAAAAGAAAACGAAAAACGCCAAGCCACACAGCAACCCCAGTAAGTGGAAAAGTTGTTTTCAGCTGTGTTCTCTCCTCCCGATGGCCGAGAAGGGAATCAATGAGAACATGCTAAGCAAGCTCACCTCTGCCTTTTGGGGACCGAGTGCTCAACTTCTATGAGTTTTCCGTGCAGTTCCACTTTACCTGCGGACACACAAGAGGTGCAGGACAGTTGGCCGAGTTGAGCGGCTCTCTGGGCCTCCTCAGACCCCGAGCGGCTCGAGGCCGAGACATAAAGCGGCCTCGCGCGGGTGGGAAAGGAGGAATCAATGGGCAGAGGTCGGTAACACTCTCCCCGCCCCCCTCGGCCTTCCCCGCCCACGTCCCCCGAGACCCTAGCAGACAAACTCGGGGCAAAGGGCTGCGTGGGCTTTCCTCAGGTGGGGGCGCCTAGGCCCTTCTCCCGGGGGTTCCGGCCCAGGCCGCCGGGAACGGGCGATGAGTGGCGGGAAAGGCTGGAGGACCGCCGGGCAGGCGCCGAGAGAGCGAACGTCCAGAGGCGCAGCTGGGCACCAGCGGAGCCACGCGCGAGGAACGGCGCCCGCCACTCCGAAAAGCACGCGGCTCTAAGCGGGACCCGAGCGCATCCTTCCCCCGCGCGCGCCCGACCAGCCCCGGAGGCCGCGGCCCGAAGCCCGGCCCCGCAGGGGGACGCGCTCCCTGGCGACCCTTGGTCGCCCGCGCCCACCTACCCCTGTAGGTCGTCGGACCCGGGAAGGTGGAGCCCAGAACCTGGGGGTTGCCCTCGCCCGCCTCCCCGCAGGGTCGAGGGGAGCGCGGGGCCGCCCTTGCGCGGCACCAGCCCGCGGCCTCGCTAGGCAGCGGGATCCAGGCCACTTTGGAGTTCTCCCGCGGCCCAGCTCTGGGGGCGGGAGAGGAGGCAGCGAGTCCACCGCCAAAAAACCCCCCACACAGAGAAGCGGGGGTAAGGAAGGAGAGAGAATCCGGCGTTCGTTCCCGGCCCCCAAGGCCCGCCGTGCCGGAGCCTGGAGCACGCGCCTGGGCCCGGGCGGCGCGCGGGGCGAGCTTCCCCCTCCCCGCTCCAGCACCCCCAGCCCCGGTCCCCGGCGCCGCACGGTGCCCTGGCTCCCCTCCGAGCCCGAGTCGGGGTTCTCTGGACAGCGCGCTCGCCCTCCGCCCGCAGATCCGGGCGGGGGAGGGGAGCCGCGGGGCCGGGTAGGCGCCCCGGCTGGGGGAAGGGCCCCGACCCGCGCGTGCGGGCGCCCGGGCCTCGGCCGCCGTCCGCAGGCGCACCCGCACCCGCCCAGGCCGGGGCCCGGTGCGGACAGCAAGGTGTGGACTGCCGCGGGCCCGACCCCGGCAGGCCCGGCCCGGGGCCCACCTGAAAGCGCCTCGATGGCCTTGAGGGCCCAGCTGTCGTCCGGACAGTCCACGAACGCGTAGCCCGTCTTCACCAGGAAGGGTCCCGACACAGGGATCTTGGCGTCCTTGAAGACACTTTCTAGGTCCGAGGGAACGGCGTTCTCGCTGAGGTTTCCGATATACAGTTTGTTCATTGTGAAGAGTGGTTGTTGCTTTTAAAAAAAAAAAAATTAGGAGAAAAACGAAAAATTAAAACCACCCACAGCGATGGATGGATCCGGCGAGTTCCCCTCCTCTTCTCGCCGTTAAAATACACAAACACAGTAAGAACCAAGGACAGGAACAAGAAGCGGAAAAAAAATCAGATCCGAGGGTTCCTGTTTTTTCCTTTCCTAGGTATTAAAAGAAAAAAGAAAAACCCTAGCGACAACCCAAACGCATCCAAGAGTCTTCCTAACTCGGAGGAGGAGGCGGGATTAGCGAGAAAAAGGAGAGGAAGGAGGGGGGAAACTACTTTTTGTCTTTTCCTCCCCAAACCCTCTGGCATCGACCGACGGACTGTGAAAATATCACACTACGAGAGGGCAAGCGCCGCCTCCCCGTAAAAAAAAAAAAAAAAAACCAGAAGGGTGACTGGCAGGAGGGAGGGGAGAAGGGGTGGAGGGGAGGAAGGCGCAGGAGGCGGAAAAAATCCGCTCCGAGTGTCCGGCTTTTTGAATGAGCCACGTGTTCAAACTACAAATCAACGTCTCACGTGAGGAATCCCAGCGCCTCAATTAGAGTGGGTTTCGCAGGGGGAAAAAAAAAAAGAGCTAGCAAGAGGAGGAAGAGGGGGAGGGGTAACGAGATTGGGCGAAGGACCCTGCGCAGGGGCGGAGAAAGAGGGGCGGAAAATGCTAAAGGAGCCGCAGCCGGGGTCGCGGAGGCAAGCGCGGCTGGGGGAGCTGATGGTCACCACAGAGTTTAGAAAGGGTTATTTGGTCGGGGCGGATCCTCCGTGAGGGGAGAGGGGGCGGGAGGAGTATTGATTTTTTTTTTTAATGTGATTGGAGTGGGGGTGCTAACTAGGCAATCCCTCAGTTCTATTTACCGGAGTTTTAAAGACTCGATTTTTAAAAATAGGTAATCAAACAAAGCCGAAGAGTCACAATTCCGAACTCGCCTTGTGGCTTCGATGACAGGAGAAGTGTAACCTCGGCAAACCGCGAGCACCTTTCCAGGGGTTGGAGGGGACGGAAACTACCCTGCGCACCCTTTGCTGGCGGGGGCACCGGCAAAGTGGGGCGGCCCCGAGCCAGGCCGGTGGGGGGATGGGAGCCCGCGGCGTCCTGGGCGGGTGTCTGGGCGACACCTCCTCCGCCTCCGCCTGCGCTCGCGGTGGCTTTGGGCTTCGCGTTTGCTATTGGTTGCGCGATTCAGAAAAGGCTCCCGGATCAATGAGGCCGGGGGCGGGCTTGGCCACCGGTGGGGGAGGGGAGCGCAGGGGCCGAGGTTTCTGGTCTGGGGATGGGGGGGGTCCCGGGCCTCGGAGGCCGGAGCAGAAAAGTCAAAGTGGGGAAAGTCGGTATTTAAACGGAAACCATTTCTTCCTGTAGTTTCCAGAGGAGGAGGAAGAGGAGGAGTGGGGTAGGCTGGTACTTTTATTTAAAGAATTTTAGTTGGAGAACTTGGGACTCTTAAAACAGGAACACCGCTCTGCGTTACCCCTAAGTGGTAACTTGTACTTGAAAAATTGCTTGAGTCTCTTTCTGCTGCTTTTCTGCCTGCATTTAGCCATTATAGCCATTCATAATTTCCCCTGTATGTAACGAGTACAATGGTGGGCGGTGGGGGAGGGTCTGGGCCCGATGGAGCCTTACAGAGCCAACGAAATGAGGACTGGAGACGAGGAACACGGAAATGAGTGCTGGGTTTCTTTTCGAAATCGCCAAGAGTCGTTTAATGATTTTGTCCTCCGCTCAAAGGCTTCATTTGCACCAGGATTCTTGTGGTATATTTTTAACAGGTATTCCATGGAAAAAGAATGTTTCTTTTTAGAAAATGATTGCAATTATATATATTAATAGGATGGAAATTTAAACAATCTTTGTAATCACTTAATACTCTTATTATTAGAAAAATGTATTGTGTAGTAGAGAAAATACTGTTTACACTATATCATCAGTAATTATGATAATTGATAAAGTTCATTTCTTTTGGTCAAACCCATACATTTAAAGATGTATACTTTTCAACTGAAAGATGAATGGAAAATTATTTTTTCAATATGTGGGAATGATTGTATGATACAAAGAGCATTTACATTTTTTCTTTTAAAAAGAACTTACAATTTTGTGTTAAGAAACCGGAAGGTGTCAGATCATCCATTTTAAATGCAACTGTTCTTTCTAACAGGTTTTTCTTTCCTGCCAAGCAAATCCAACTTTTTAAACGTAAACTCACTTTCACAATATTTTCATTCATGTTTAGTTTAGTGAAATGTTTTTACTTTATGATATGGAGGGTGTAAACATGTTCTTCAGTGTTTACAACTGTATTATGAACAGTATCTTCAAAGAACATTTAAGTGGTGAAATTTTAAATTTATGGTTATAACTTTTTTAAAAAGCTTGCTTATTTTAACTTTTCATATTTTTGAAGAGAACCTTCGTTCCAAGAAAGAAAAAAACATGTATTCTTTGATTCTGTCATATTCAAAATGTAAATATTAAATTATAAATTTTTATTTACCTGTTGCATGTGATCAAAAGCTATTTACAGAAATGTACTTTTCATTCACTTAGTAATATTTGCTTTTCTTTAAATTTTAAAAACTAGTCTGTTTATCATTTAAGTTTTAGTAATTTTTCTTAAAAACAATTTTCTATGTTCAACATACTTTCAAAAATCAATTGAATGGTGTCTTCTGGATTGTTGACTATATTTGCTCTTACTAAAACTGAGACCTAAGAAAATATCTACTTAGTCTAAAGCATGGGATAAAATGTTTTTTTTCCATAAATACTAGTCCATGCCTGTCTTTCACTATCAAATCTAACAGCTGGGATTTAAAACAAGTGTGTGCAGTTTTGATGAAATATGTTCTTGGGGCTCTTGTGAACTTAATTTGTGTATTATTATAACAAACTGGATACTCCGTCTAGGACCTTAAAAACATACACGAGTTACATAAGCTCAGCCATCAAAAAGGGAGTTAAATACAGTCCACTCCATTTCGACTCTTCCATGCATTTGAGGGATCAGTCATCAATGGCTGAGTAAAAAGAGCATGGGTAATTGTTTTTTTACTGACATTTCAAGTGTAAAAATACCTTCGGTGGATTTTCAAGAATGCTTATAAGGTTAATCTAACTTCCAGTCTTAATGAGTATCCCAGGAAATTAACCGTGTGTATGGGCTACTCCAAGTTCTTTCTGAAGCAGCAGCAGCTCCTAGTAAATGTTAAGTCCACGAAGGACTCCCACCCATTGTATGTGCTCTGATGCTGTTGAGGCTTCCCAACTGCAGCCTGTTTACTCTTTGGACAGCTGCACTTCCTCCTGATCTCCTGACCTGAAGGCAATAAAAATGTTTCTTATGGGGCAGTGTAATATTAAAGAAGAAAAACCGTGTTTAGAAGGTCGGTTACCGCTGCTTTATCTACAGGTTATGAGCGACGGCTTAGCAGGTAGAGGAGGGGGAGAGGGCATTCTTGTTGCTAACCCTAACTCCCGGCTTCCTCTGAGACCAGCCCAAAGCCGAAGTCCTTAAGGCGGGTGGGCATGTAATGCCGCGTCGCCTGGGCCTCATAGAAGGTATTTTTTAACATACTCTTTGCTCCTTCGAACAGCTCTCGTGGACTCTGATCTGTTAAAACCAGATGCATAATAATAAGCGGTAGCCTGGCTCTTCCCTCTCTTCGGGAATATGCCTTCAGTGATTTTTATTTAAAATAAAAGATGGTGCTCTGAGAGATGTTTCCTCTTGCCACCGGTCCTGCCGGGAGAAACTGGGCGGGATCCTTGCAGCTCACACTCGGGAAGATCCTTCGTCGGCCGCTGCTCGCCTCGGAGGCCCTAGCCCACCCGTCCGCCCTAGCCCCGCCGCGCGACAGGCACCTTCTGGCTGCGTCTCGGCTTCGGTCCCTGCGCGCGGAGCTGCGTGGATGCGTTAGACGTGGGGGCCCGGGCAGGGGAGCCTGTGTCCCCCTCGCCGCGCTACCCGACCTGAGCACTGCCCTCGCCCGCCGGGGCGAACCTGGCGGCCCTGCCGCACTTCCGGCCTGTTTCCAGTGTGCGAGGGGCTCATCGGAGCCGGGGGATGGTTGGTACCCACGAAGAAAGATCGCAAGGAGCAGCCGCTGAGCCCGCTGCCTCTGGCCGGGGCGGGGCGGGGCGGTGAGAGGGGAGCGCTAGGCGCGCAAACGCGGCTCCGGGGAGGAGTTTCGCGCTCCTAGGGGCCGACTCGCCGAGCCCGAGTTAGAGCAGCCGGCGTGGAGAGAGACGCCGCCCCTGGCTGCGGAGGGGGCAGGGGGCTTCTCTCACCCGATTGGTGGACGGAGGGAGCCTATCACCGTCGGCTGCCGCCGCCGAAGCAGTTTGCTGGTTTCCATTCATTGGCCCCCGAGCCGCCCTTGGATTTCCATCTTTTGTGGCGCGAAAATAACCCTTTGCTCCCTCTCATTGGTTTTGTTCTTTTTGAGGGGTGAGATTGGCTTCCCCTCTTGCATCTCTCATTTTTCCTGCCCTTTAACTGTGAGCCCAGTCCTAACCCCCAAGGAGAAAAGAGGGAGACAACTGAGGAAGAATGAAAAATAGTTGTGCATGTGAATTCCGCCCCTGGGGCTGACCGCGTGGTGCCCGCTGAGTCCCTTCCCTTCCCCCAACGTCCAGCGTCCGGAGGTCGTAGGTTTGCTCCTTGCCCCGCACTGGAGCCACATCGTTTCCCTGCTCGACTCCACCGACGCTTTAGAATTTATATGTCTTTTTTAGTTAAATTAACAATACGTTTCTAGGTGCTTGATTTTTCCAGGGCTTCTAGAGAAATCTACGTATTCCGCCCCCTCATTTCCTAACCCCCTTTATGGGCCACAGCGTTGTTTCACACAAAACCAAACAATCCCCTCCAAAAAAAGCAAACGAAAAATTCCTGGTGAAACCAACTCTACGGAGACCACGTTTTCGTTAAAGCTTCCCTAAGACTAAAGAGCTGAGACCGACCTTGAAGGATTAGCGATTTCTGTAGCTGAAATGTTCTAATTTTACTGACGTTTGGTGGAAACGGTGAGAAAAAATAAATATGAATTTATCTTGGAAAAGCACAAAACAAACGAA